GGGGGCCATTGTCAGAGGCATGCACCCACCGTCTCAAATATTCTGGCAATATAGATGTCCCTGTTCAGAGTTCAAGGCCAAATAGGTCTCTCCCACCTTCTGGTTGGTGAATGCCTGCATTCTGTCCTGTAAGAAACTAGTGAAACAGCTCATGAGACAGGGGCCAAACAGCAAAATTAAAGAATAGATACCAGGGCCTAATAGTGGAGGAGCCAAGGGGCAACTGAGCCAAAAATGGCATACCCCCATTCTTGCTGGTTACATCATCTTTGGTCAATCCTGTCCCGGAGAGATTTAATGTGATCTTTGACAATTCCTGATTCATTAACGAAGTAGCAGCATTCTTCCCCAAGAAAGACACAGGTACCCCCTTTTTCTGCTGTCAAGAGATCTAAAGCACACCGGTTCTGTAGGGCTACTGTTGCTAAGGAGTCTACCTGCCTTTGAAGGGATTCAAGGGAATTGCTAATGATGGAGATATCCTCTAAAAATTCAGCAGACAATTTGTGGTAGAAATGAACAGAGGAGGAAATGCCTCCCACTCCTGTCCCTACTGCAGTGAGGATTCTAGACGCCAGTTCAGAGATTATCAATTAAATAGGGTGGGATCAGCGTGTGCATCTAACTCCAGGTGCCCTGGGTTCTGAAAACCAAGCTAGTGAAGATGAAATGCGGGTGAGCCCTCTCACAAGGTCAGAGCTCCTGATCCCTGTCTTGCTCTCAACCTGGGCTGTGTGGTCTTGACCTCTCTGAGCCTTGACTTCCTCCCCTTGGCCCAGAGACAGGCATGGTTGTTGGGTGACTCAGTAGCAGGCTGGCCACAGCCCCTAGCTACCCAAGCTCCCAGTGGAGGCTGGCTGGAAGCAGTTATCTGGGATTTATTTAGCTTCTATAATTAAAACTTTATTACCTTTTGCGGAGGCCACAGCCACCAGCGCAGGTGGAAATCTTGGCTTCCTTCATTGCCAGGACAACCAAGCCTCCTGCTTGCTCCAGCTCCATGGCTGCCGGCCATCATCTTGGTTGAGATAATTTGCATATAGTCACTGTGATTGGCTTGGTGGGCATGGCTTTGGAGTAGCGAAGGTATGGTCAATTAGCATATTTGTCTTTTATTAGTGTAGATATGTGCTTCAGTCAGTTGTCCCAATTCTTTCCTCTAATGTTTACCAATTCCCATTCAAACATACTCAGCAGAGGGGCATTTTGGATTAGAGAAGGGTGTTAAAGAGGCTTTTATTTTCTAACACTGCAGGCTGCTTTCTTTTTTTTTTCTTTTGCTTTTTTTTTTTAGCCCCTCCTCAAAACCACCCCCTCCCCAATTTGCTGCTTTCTTATTATCAAAGCAGTTAACAGCCTGCATCAACATTAAATGTAGACAATTTCCTACTACTGTAGTTAAAACTGTGGTTGGTATCTATGCTAGTACTTGATATTAATGTTAGCCCCTTAAAGCTTCTTTGAAACTTATAATTAGGTGAGAGAGAGATAAAATGATAACACTTTTATTTTTATTTTTATTAAATTTATCAGGAGTAACAACAGTTAATAACATTATATAATTATTGGCTTACAGCTTTATAATATGATATCTATATACTCTTTTTTGTACTCTCCAGCCAAAACCTAGTCTCATTTCATCACCATGTATTTCACCCACATTGCCTGTTCTCCTCCCCTCATCTCCTCTCCCATCTGATAACCACCAGTCTAATGTATGTACCTATATGTTTAATGGGGGCTTTTTGTTTTGTTTATATATCTGTTGCTTTTTATTTTATATTCCACATGTGTGTGAAATCATATAGTTCTTATTCTTTTCCATCTAAATTATTTCACTTAGCCCTACCAGTTTGGCTCAGTGGATAGAGTATTGACCTGTAGGCAGAAGGGTCCCAGGTTTGAGTGTGGTCAAGGGCATGTACCTCCATTGCAGGCTTCTCCCTGGCCCAGGCCCTAGTGGGAGGTAGGGAGGGTGTGTGCAGGAAGCAACCAATCGATGTGTTTCTCTCACATTGATATTTTTCTCTGTCTTTTCCTCT